TCCTTTTCTCCATTCCAGAGAGTGACATCGCCAAACTCTGGTTGCCGAAGTGACAGCCAGAAGTAATTCTTAGGCTCTCCCCCTTCCACATGGGACTATGTTTAATCAATTACTGAGTCTCATCAATTCTACTTACTATCTCTCCATTTCTCCAGCTGTTATTTGAACTCAGACCACCAGCACTGCCAGGTGAATGCCACAATAGCCATCTAACTGGCTTTCCTATGCCCAGCTTGCTCCCCTATCTGCTGTTTATGATGCAGCTCAAGTGATTTTTAAAAATAAAAAAGGAAGGAAATTTGATGGTCTTTCCATCACTGGCTCCCATTGCCTTGGTGATTGTTTGCTGAAAGATCATGCTTTAAAGAACTATCAGTAATGAAGATCACAGAGAACAGAAAGAAGAGGCAGGTAACTTGCTGCCCAGCCCCTTAGGTCAAGCGAGAAAAAACAAAGACATACAGGTATGGGATGAATTTTCATCCCTACTGGCCAGGGAGAAAGACATCAGAGACTGGTAGTAAAAGTCTCTCAGATGCACTGGGTTTGCACTTGGCAGGAGTTTCTTGTCTTATCTATGGGAAAGTGCATACAAGAGAAAGGACCTAAGAAGGTAAGGGTCCCCTCAGATGCCATCACCTGGGTTAACTTAATATTTGTACTTGCCTGGCCCTCTATGTGGGATGGCTTTTCCCCAACTAATCATATTGTTGTTGACTCACTTCCTTATGAAAGTGATCATTTCTGACCACCATACCTCTTACTCAGCTTTATTTTCTTGCCCTGTATTCAATCAACATTTGTCATTTTATATCTCTACTTCTCACCCCAAAGTGGTGTGGAAGTTCCTTCCTATTCTGCTTTCAAAATTATCCCATACTGTAATTCCTTATTAATTGTCTGCCCCTTTCCATTGCTTTAGTATGTAAGTCTTTGTGGACGGGAACTTCACTGTGCTCATTGCTATACCCCTGGGAGTAGATGTTGCCACTTCAGTTTCACAGGTGAGAGACTCAGACAAGAGACATGAAGAGACTGACCAAAGGCTGTGACTTAGTAACTGCCTGAAACATGATAAGTACAGGAGTTCCAGTCACTCAAATTTGTTGATTATTTAATTTATTTGTTAATTCATTTATTCTTTGATAAATATTAATTGAAGGCTTCCATGCTCTGCAGCATGGAAGAGTGAATGATGCAAAGTCCTTGTGACACACAGCTCATCATCTACTGGAAGAGAGATATGCATAAACAATTCTAAAACAGGGTGATTTTGAAAGCAGAGGAAGGCTAGTAAATCTGTTGAGTGGGAAGTTTAGGAAAAACTTTTAAGGAGTTGTTTCTACAACTGACCCCTCAAAATGAGTGGGAGTGGGCCAGTCAATGAGTGAGGACAGAGGGAATAGGGCAGCATCAAGCATAAAGTTCTCCATGGGCTCTGAGGACCAACCTTGAGGAGTTGTCTTAAAAGCAAGGGAATCTAGTGAGAGCTGCAAAAATGAGTAGGATTTCAACAGAAACAGATGGAGATGGGGGAACCAGCAGTTAGCGTAATGGCTATGTCGCTGGACTCCCACATAGCCGACCGCGGTTCGCGTCCCGGACCTGGTGGCTTAAAACTCACGCCGGGCACGTGTGCATGCATGCCCAAGATCCCGAGAGGAGAATGGAGGAGAAGGGATTGTGGCATGACCATTCCCCTGGGGGGTGATTTCTCGCTTTCTGTCTGT